AGATTAGGAAATTAGCCAGCCTTATCCCTAGCCCATGGCTTGATATATTTAAAAAAAAAACAACCCTAATTTTAAACTTTTAAAATTTATAAGAAATCCGTAAAAATCATTAAATGGATGCATCTTAAAATCAATAGAGGAAATATAAATAGACTTTTGCAGTTATTTACCGATATATTACTTTTTTAAAATAATAATTAATGGAAGCTTGCAGGAAAGGAATGTTTTCCCAGTTAATTTTGGTGACTGGGTTTGTGGTGATTTATATGTTTTAAAGTAATATGGCAACTTATTCCTCTAATAATAAGGTCAAGATTATTTTGACAAGCCATCTCAGTACTTAGGAGTAATTAGTTAGTTTCCGGATAAAAGGTCCTATCTGTGATTTCAAAACTTCAAAATGAAGCCAGTGTAAAAATAGTCACTTTATAGAAATGTACCTTACAGCCAGCTGTGTGTTATATAAATAAACTTGACAGAAATGCACATTCCCTGGAGCAGGAGACTACAACCACCCAGACATAAAGGAAAATCAGTGCTAGGCTATAAATACCAGTTTGTATTCGACTTTGTAGCTGTTAGACTTGGTCTTGGCAAAGTATATTCACAGTGTTAAAGTAGCTTATTTCCTTAATAGTCAAGTATAAAATGACAGTATTTGGGTCTTTGTATGTTATTGTTTTGAGACCTCGTGTTTTTGCTGAGGCTCAGTGAATGTTTATTTTCATGTTATTGACAAAATAATTTTAAAAAATATATTTTTATTGATTTTGAGAGAGAGAGGAAGGGAGAGAGAGAAACATTGATGTGAGAGAGAAACATTGATCATTTGCCTCCCGCAGGCACCCCAACTGAGGATCAAGCTCACAACCTGGCTATGTGCCCTGACTGGGAATTGAACTGGCGACCTTTCCGTGCATAGGACGATGCTTAAGCAACTGAGCCACACTGGCCAGGGCAACAAAATATTTTCAGACATTATTTTAGACTACATTAAATTGCCTTTTTAGCATTGTTTTTTAAAATTTTTTTTTTTTTTTAAATATAATTTTACTGATTTGAGAGAGACAGAAAGGGGGAGGGAGAGGGAGAGAGAGAGAAACATCAATGATCAGAGAGTCATTGGTTTGCTGCCTCGTGCATGCCCCCTGCTGGAGAATGAGCCTGCAACTTGGGCATGTGCCCTGACTGGGAATCAAACTATTACCTCCTGGTTCATGAGTCCATGCTCAACCACTGAGCCATGTGGGCCAGGCTGTTTTTCAGACTCGCATTGAGAAAAGTTTTAAAGTTATAATAATACTCCTATCCCTTATGATTTTGAAGCATATCCCAAACATCACAATCATTTGTCTGTAAATATTTCAGTATCTCTAAATAATTCTATATCTCTTAAAAATAAGGGTAAAACCCCATTACCACACTTTAAAAAATTAACAATAGTTTGGCTGGTGTGGCTCATCCTTTAAGCATTGACCTATGACCCAGGTGACCCATCCCCAGTAGGGGGTGTGCAGAAGGCAGCCGATCAGTGACTCTCATCATTGATGTTTCTCTCTCTCCCTCTCCCTTCTTCTCTCTGAAATCAATAAAGATATACTTAAAAAATTAACAGTAATTTAATATTTTTAATATTATTTTACTATTGTCTTCAAATTTTCACTTGTGTCATAATTATTTTTTATTTTTCATAAAAGCTTCTTAATATTCTCTCTAGGAATTGAGCCTAGGGAGGCCAGGACAGTCTGACCATTGGCAATCAGAAACACTACCCAAATTTTCCAAAAAATGACCTAATCCGTACCACAAACTCAGAGGTGTTTACTGAGACAATTAGCCATTTCAGTGGTATTTAGTGTATTCACAATGTGCAACCACCATCTCTTTGTAGTTTCAAAACTTTTTCATCATCCTAACACTCCCTAACCCCTCACCTCCCATACCTATTAAGTACTCCTCCCCCTTTACCCCCTCACCCATCCATTGGTAACCTCTGTTCTGCTTTCTGTCTCTGGATTTGCCTTTTCTGGATATAGTAAAGGAGTCATACAATATGGGACCTCAGTGTCTGGTTTCTTTCAGTAGCCTGATGTTTTTGAGGTTCCTTTAAGTTGTAACATGTATCAGAACTTTCTATTTATGGCTGATAATATTCTATTGTATGTATATACCATAATTTGTTTGTTCATTCATTCATTGATGGATATTTGGGTTGTTTCTACCTTCTTACTATTAATGAGTAATGCTTCTATATAAACATTAGTGTGTAACTTCCTATGTGAACAGAACAGATGTTTTCATTTCTCTTGGGTATATACCTAGGAGTGGAATTGCTGGGTTATATTGGAGCTTTCTGGTTAACTTTGAGGAATTGTGTGTGATTTTTGACTTATTATTTTAACCCCCACATCACCAAGCTTGATTGATTATTCTGTCTCCTACATATCCGTGTTTTCCATCTTTATTCCCACTACCATATACTAATGGTACACTTTCCAGGATTACTTTACTAGCTTCCTTTTTGTTTTCTTTGTCTTCACCATGGCTCCATTCTATGTCATCTTTCACATACTCCAAAATTGGTTTTTGAAAATGGAAATCTTATGAGGTTACCTCATTGTTTTAAAAACAAAACACAAACCCAGAGGTTCATCATCATAGCCCTCTGGATAAAGCCTAAGCTTACCTGTCTTACAAAGGCTCTTTGCTGTCCAGTTCCTTCTGTCTAGTTTCAGCTTAATGCTGCCCCTTTGTTCCAGCCACATACTGATGTCTATATTTCAAGTTTTTGTATATGCTCCTCTAACTCTAGCACCTCCCCCACCCAAATCCTTTGTCTTATTTCAGATGTCTCTTCTCTTTTTAGAAGCTCTTACTGTCTCTTCATGATTATAATGTGTCCTTCTTTTGTGCCCCTCAATTCCTGTATTAATTCTGGAGCATTTACACACGTTGTGTGAATCAGGAGCTGATAGTTAAGTGCTAGGTGATGTAGTGCAGACTAAAAGTATAATTAATAGTATAATTAAAGTATAATTAATAATTCAGTAGTCAAAAGATTACTTGGTAAATTACTTAAGGAAGGCCTCATGGAGGAAGGTGTTATTTGAAGTGGACTTTGAAGGAAGCATTCATAAAGGTATGGTACTACTGATCTGTAACTATAGGTAGATCGAACCTATTGAATATCCATGGATCTAGACCTATGAGGACTCGTGGTAGGGGCAAAAGCCATGACAAAAGTGAGGTGTTGGACATTCTTCAGCAGGGCTTTTGTATTATGTGAAACAAGCAGAGGACACAATTACACCCGTGGAAGAAAAGCATTGAAAGAATGTGCAAAAGGTTTTAAGGACTTACAGTGTATTTACAAAAGTAAGAAGCAATGATATACTTTATGAGAAGTGTAAGAAAATTTTCAAGGGTAATTTCTTACCATATATGCTAATTTCAGAGTTTACCCACCTACATTTATAAAACTCCATGAAACTTCTGACAGAAAACGCAACAACTAGGTGATTTCTAGGTAAATTATAGAATCATCCACAAGACTTTTGTGTACAATGTTGGAGAAATGGTCTGTGTTTATCTAGTGTTTATCTAGAAAAAGATTGGAAATGAGATAACTCTGTGTAGAAAGTAACTGACTGTTTTGCAGTTGTCTGTGTTCTACCCTGTCTCTCACTTGATAGTAAAAGTGGGACTTTCAGCTCTTCCTGTAGTTAGCACTCAGTAAATGCTTGCATGCATAAACAAAATAAGATTAAAATGTAATTCCTATGTTTCCATTTTCAGTATCTTTTTTATGTGTTATAATAACTAGCTATTTAAATGTTAAAAAGCATTTCTTGTTTTTTGAAATACAGTACTGATTTAAAACTATTTATAGAAGTCTCCTTTGCCTGTTAGGCAAAAATATTAGACTTCTAAAAAAACTCCCCTTAAATTTTGAGAAAAGAAGCCATTCATGTTTAAATATAAATAAACTTTCACTTTTGGCGCTCTCTGTGTTTCACTGGCATTTTGGGGTGTTAAATTTTAGTTGAAATAACACCACCTCTGATTCCTCAAAAAAATTAATATTTTCTTCTCAGTTACCAATACACTTTTCAGTCTTTTATAGCACTTTGAGTTGTAGTACACTTAGTTATATTGTTAGACTGAGCTCCTTGAAGAGGATGGCAGGAATTACGAGAATTACAAACCTGTTAAAACTCCCAGCAAGTTCTTTCTGAGCTCCTCTCTTTTGTTGGCTTTGTCTCCACTTTACAATTTCAGCCAGTCAGTGCTCCCTGTCTGACTTACCAGTTGGTGATGTATGTATATATATACTTTTATATTACTATCATGATTGTGATGATAGCTTCAGAGGTGTAAACATACATCAATATGTATCAAATATGTGTATTTCACTGAATGCAAATTATACCTCATTAAATACACATGAATATCCACTGTAGGTGTGTATCCCCCAAGATTACAGAGGAGTTGTCAGATAGATATACAATTATTAGTATAAGTGAAGGTTGGTTAAGCTCAGATTCCAATGCAAAGGTATTAGGCACTCTGTTGGTGTTTCTGAAAGTGTATCCTAAAGATCACAGCATAAGAATTGCCAGAAGTACTGGCTTAATTTCCCTCCAAAACAGAGTTTCTGGTGGATGGGCCTGGATATTTGCATTTTAACAAGCTTTCTACACTACTGTGTCTCCGTAGCACTGTAGAGCTACCTAGAATGGTAAGAACCTAGCTGGAAACCAGGGTTAGAAGTAAGAGGGCATTAGAAATTGATTTTCTGGGCAGTTTACTTTTACCCATTGCTTCCTTGTGTTAAAGAGTTGGAAATGTTTTGGTCATCAGGTAGCATTTTGCTAGTGGACCCAGGTATATCCATTTAATAGTTTTAATAAGGTTTATATTCAAGTTTTGTAATTTATCTATTGGGTGAAAATTATGTACTTTAATTTTAAAGTTTTGATAAAATTTTTCTTTCTCCACAGAACTCAACAAAAACCCAGTGGAAGGCTTTTCAGCAGGTTTAATAGATGACAATGATCTCTACCGATGGGAAGTCCTTATTATTGGTCCTCCAGATACACTTTAGTAAGTACAATAAAACTGACATCAAAGTGGAGCTCTTTTAATTAGTTGAAATGTAAACTATTTTGGCAAACTGAAGTGAAATTATTTTTTAAAGAGCAGGCGAAATGGCCGTATTTAGTATCATTTGTATGGAATGATCATGCCTAAGGTTTTTGTGTCTTGCTTGAAACTCTAATGTTTAAAACCTTTTGCTTTCTTAAGAATAAAAGTGTTTCAGAAATTCAGATATTCTTGATACATGGGATACATTTATTACAGAGAAACTATCTTTAAGGTGAGCTTATACATAAATATTTTCTTACCTGTATTCCAGAAATTGGATTGGTTTTGTCAAGATAGGGAAGAAGAAAATTTTTTTCTGAAATGTTTCTCCTTCCTTTCCTTGTGCTTACTGTGCCTTGCCTCCAGAGGGTACATTGTAATTTTAAAGATACGGTTTTATCATTTTTAACATTTTATTAGTTTAATTAAAGCATGCTATTAATCTGGGAGATTCCATACAAAGCATAGTGTATACAAAATTGTCTTTAAGCAGACTGGAGAGAACTTTCAAGATCATCAATTTCAGTGATTCTCTAATTGGATCCCCACAGAATACTTGTTAGAACCAAGGTGTAATCACCCTACAGTGAACTAACTCACAGTCGTCTTTTCCCAGTTTACAAATGTGATTGTTACAGTTAATCATTTTTAGTTAACCATGTACTAACTGATGTCAAGATGGACAACAGAATGTAGTGGTATCAAAGAGCAATAGAAAAAGAAAGATGGAATTTCTTAAATATTTTATGTAATACATTTCTAGATTCAAAGGCCACAGTCATATTTTCTGCTCCAAGTGTTGAAAGACTAAGTTAAACTTACTAATATACATATATATTTAATGTTCTATAAGAGGGATCATGACTACCTTGTACCAGACTTGTACAAGTTCCGTATTTTTTACAGAAGTTGGAGTATTGGAAGAAAATGCAGTGACTTCCTCAAAGATATACAACTGAGGGACAGATCTAGATCTGAGTCTCTTGGAGACTATACTTCCTCACTCAACCAAGGTCCTTGATGGTACTAAGCAGGCAAGGATTTGGATGCATCACACATTTTTTCTGATGGTCAAGTAGTTTCATTTTAGGTGTTCTAAGATGGTAATTCCTCCTCACCCCATAAAATACGTGATGGAAAAGAAAACTCAGCTACTTCAGTACCAGAGTAGACTGGTGTATGCCATATAGACTTGAGATGTAGTGTGGATTTTTGGGTTTCCTATAGCCTGAAAAAAATTGTTTTGTTAGCCCTAGCCGGCTTGGCTTGGTAGATAAAGCATTGGCCTGTGGACTGAAGGGTCCTGTGTTCGATCCCAGCCAAGGGCACATACCTTGGGTGCAGGTTTGATCCCCAGCCCCACCTGGGTTACATGCGGGAGGCAACCAATCAATGTGTTTCTCTCACATTGATGTTCTCTCACATTAATGTTTCTTCCTCTCTCTCCCTTCTACTCTCTCTGAAAAGGAATGGAAAAAACATCCTCAAGTGAGGATTAAAAAAATAAAATTATGTTTTGTCATACGTATTGCCAATCAGAATTTTTGCTCGTGTATTTCCCAGTGGTATGTTTGCATTGGTAATTGTTGTAAATTAAAATAACTCAATTTAAAATAACCACTGTGTTAGTTTGGTAGCCATTGAAAACTATCCTAGAAGTATTTCCACACAATCTTAATATTATTTGAAAGCTAATTTCTTAATCAAATATTATACACAAAACCATACATACATAACCTGGTTTTTATGAGCTTGATGAAGTTCAGGTCTATTCTTCTAGGTTTTGCAATCAAGACACATTGCATGAAGGTTTACTCAGGAGAAACACAGCAACATTCCAGTGATATAATCTTGTTACCCTTACAGTTATATGAGATGATGAGAGAAATTCCTCTAAACTGATGTTGTCTATATAGAGGATTGGTTAGGCATCTAGGCTTGAGCTACATCTCTAAGGACCTCACCGAATTCTTATACTTTTTTCATGCAATGGTGGCACTTTTCTCTGAATATTATTAGCTGATCCATATGTTTTGCATACCTTCAGCTTCACCAAAGAGAACCACTTTTTAATACTTATTGTACTAATTAACAGACCATTATTTCCACCAATGAAAACCTCTTTCTGGCCTTCAATATACATTTAAAAAGTACTGGCTGTTTGATATGAGATGTGGATAGCAGAAGCATTTGTGGCAGCTCTTTGGAGTATGGACGTACTGATGAGACAAATGACAGCCACTTCTGCACTGCTTCTTCCTGATGAGAGCACCAGCAGCACCTGGGCTGTAGTTTATCCTCAATGCCATTCGTATTTTGAACATCCTGTGAATAATGAAGCCTTAATGCAGTTGACAGATATACTAATCACCCAGAATTACCTGGATCTGATGCCTTATTATTAATGATCTTTTCTAAAATTCATGTGCTGGAAGTTATAAAATTGTTTTTAAAGCCCTCAAAAAAGAGGGTTAAGATTTTTTGAGTTTAGGGCATCCCTTTTCGCAATGTCCTACTTACAGTAGCTGCAAAAATAAAGTGTTACACTGGCATTTACACTAATTTCTTTAGTTCTCAGATTTTTATTTATTTTTAAATATATCTTTATTGATTTCAGAGAGAGGAAGGGAGAGCAAGCGAGAGAGAGAGAGAGAGATAAACATCAATGATGAGAGAGTCGTCATTGAATGACTGCCTCCTGCACACCCCTGAATGGGGATGGAGCCCGCAACCCGGGCATGTGCCCTGACCTGGAATTGAACCGTGATCTCCTGGATCCGAGGTCGATGCTCAACCGCTGAGCCACGCCCGGCCAGGCCTCAGATATTTTAAGTACTCTTACATTGCATGGGAACATGACCTTGAATTAGCTAATAGTCACTGCTCCCAAAGAGGTTATACATTTTAGTTGACAAAACAGATCATTGCATAGCCATGTAATACACTTTGGTGATAGCTATGGTGCAGATAGGCATGGGTATTATGACAAATCTTTGCGAACATGGTAGGTTTTGAATGTGTCAGTGAACTCTTCTCAGAGGAAAAGATGTCTAAAATGGGAACTGAAAGTTAGTAACTGTATTAGTTACTAGGCTTTTTGGCTATAAGTGACAGAAATCTGATTTTAACTGGCTTAGAATACTTTGAATAATTTGTTGTCCTGACACAAAATGGTTACAGCAGTTTGAGCGTTTCAGAATATCACCCAGGGAAGAAGAGAGGGCGGTTTCGTGTCTCATTTGTCAGAGTTGAACGACTTGCTTGTTTCTTGTCCAGGACTGGCCAGGTGAATGAGAGTCCCACCTTGGCTTAGGCTAGTTATTCTGGGGTGGAAGAGACTTGGGGCTGTCAGCAGCAAGGTAAGAAGAACTGTGCAGGTATTCTGGCAGTGAGAGTAGTGTGGAGGGGTAAATGGAAGGGAAACTGAGGATTAAGCATTTCATAGGGAGAACTGTATACATAGGCCTGGAAAAAAAAGGCTGGAACAAGGGTATGGCAACTAAAATGAATATAAAGAATTTTAAGAAACAAGGTTGGGTAGGGAGTTGAGGGCTAGTTGAAATTTATAAAACACTGTTAAAGAGTTTGAATTTCTTTTGTCCTAAGGACAAAGCACAGCCATTGGGAAATTTTACATCAGGAGTTACCAGTTAAATTTATATTTTAAAATGCGCATTGAATTACTAAGTATAATTTTGGGATTATGGATTTTATTTTCCCTCAGTTTACTAGTATTTTACTTCTGCAACAAAAATATATTTTTAACAATGTTATGTTAAAATTTTCTTCGTTTATAACATAAAAAATAGACTGGGTGTTTGGGGGCTGCTCATGGCTGCTTGAAGTAGGGAGATCAGCAGCCTTTGCCTAGGGGATAGAAAGCGAGCATATGTACCTAGGGCAGGACGCTGAGAAAGGCAGAGGAACTTAGCCAGCAAGGTATAAGGAGCGGGAAGGTTTTATAGAAGTAAGCTTTCTAAAATTTTACTAAGAATCAAGTATCAAAAATCAAGTATTTAATAGTATTTGGTTATTTAACAGTAAGAAAATTACTGGTGTTCTTGTAGTTATTTCAATGGAGTGAAGACTATAGACCTTAAGTATAAATAACTGCCTAGGAAAAGAAACAGGCTGACAATGGGGGTTGGGGTGGCAGGGTTATAGGGTTGAAATTAAGTTAATATGGGCTTAGATAGTACCCAGACCTAAGTGATTAACTCAGCACTTAATTAGATATTTTATGTAATAATAAAAGAATACTAAAGTTCTTTAAAAGCTGGTGTGGTATTTCATGGTGGCAACGTTAGCCTTCATTTAGTCACTAAATGAAGAGGGCAGTCCACACTCTTTACAATCTGTTCATTCAACTGGTATATTTAAGCATCACTTTATCTGAGACTGATAGTTACCATGAGTATTAATTTAGCCATTATATTTATCTTTACACAGTATTGACTTTTTATTATTTCTCTGTTAATCTTTCTAGTGCTGTTAAGAATTGGTTCTTGAGGCTTTCTTTATTGAGAGACAGTCTGAAACTGGTGTGATATACCTGCTGTTTTTATACAACTGATTATCAAGTAGTGTGGATAGCCACTTGTATCCACAGAAATAAAAAGTTCAGGTAGGAGTGGTAGTAGGTTTTTAAAGAAAGTCTCAGACCACTGTATAATTATATGTTTATAAGTTTGTATTAGTGAATGGTCAATGTACAACTTTTATCTTTTACTCTTTTTCTTTCATCATTAATGAATGGCTAGTCTGTTCAAGTTGTGTGCTGTTTTGTTTTTTACCACTGGCCATGGTGTAGAAAAATTGAAGAATCTTAAGATTATATGTATTTTGTAGTATTGCCTTACCTTGAGATGATATAGAAGATGAAGAGTTAGCTAACCAAACTCTCTAATATACTTCTACACTAACGACATGTTTTTATATTTTTATTTAAGACTTAGAGGCATAAGCCATATATTCTGTAATGAAATTTTGGAGCGAATGAACCTTGTGCTGCACGTATTGCTTAGAGATTGATTGATCACTGGCAGTGCCATACCATTTATCATTTAGTGCTTAAGAACGTGGACTTTGGGGACTATCTTTGTTTCGCTCCCTGACTGTCATTTTTATTAGTTGCGTGATTTTGAACAATTACTTAAATATTGTCTTAGCAGTTCTGCTTCTAGGGTTAAAACCCTATACCTAGGAATGTTTGGAATATTCAGTGTTCCATTGCTTGTGATAGCAAAAAAAAGTGGAAGAAATCAAATGTCTTATGATTGTAATGGATAAATTGTGGAATGTGGCAAATAAACGAACGAGACTAGTATCAACAGGAACAATGTTGAACAAAATTTCAGATGATAGCGTTACAGTTTATTATTTAAATGAAGTAAATATGGCAGAACGGTAGGATCTGACAAAGAGGAATGATAGGATCTCTGATCCTTGTAAGGTTTTTCTACTTTAATACAAAACAGTAAGGGAAGAAACTTGAACTAGGCCTACATTTCTCAACGTTTTCAAATGGGAAACTCCTGCTTGCACACCTCTTTTTAACATCATCATGCTAGTAATTGTCTTTAGTATCTGTGGTGAAGAGAATATATAATGGAAGAGAAGATATTTTTAATTTATTTGATGTTTTTCAATAAGCTTTGAATTTGCTCATCACTGTAGCATCTTTGAAAAACAGAGAACATGTGACATGTTAATATTTAGTCTACAATGTTTTTTACCCTGTGGGTCTTTTGAGTTCCTCTGTTACTTTAGCTTTTCACTATAAATTCGCACACACAAGTCGGGACTGCTGAGCAAGACTTAAAAACATAACACAACACCACAAAAAATGTCCACAGGTAAGGAGAGAAACTATAATGAATAGCATGGTTGGTTCAGAGTGGGTGAGGGCATTGCAAACAGAGTAAAAAATTGTGTGCTTTCAATGGTTTAGGAGAATCCTATTAATTAAACTTGATTGACATTTTAAAGATTGAAAATAATATAAGGCTAGGTAAATTTTTATGATAGGGATTTCAGTCAGCTGATATTAAGCTTTTAAGAGGATCTAATCAATCAAAATTTAAGGAAAAGCTACCTGAGTATTGAGGACTAGCCTCACCAGTAGAATAAAGCACTTGGGCTTTGTTGCAGCTGTTTTGATGTCCTTTTACATCAGTTCTTGCCTGTTTTCTGTAATGGTGCCTTTCAAACTTTTTTTTTTTTTTTTTTTACCACAACCCATAATCAGAAGTAATTTACATTATGACCAATGTATACTTAGGTGTATTCATCTTAGTGCATAGAAACGTGTGTAGATTATATAACTGAAACACATTACTTGTGATAAGATCTTTGTTTTCTACTTCTATTTAAGAAGAAAACTAGTTAGTGACTCACTTAATTGGCTTTTAGCCCCAGTTTGAAAAACTAGTTCATATAATTAATATGTCCTAAGACCAGTTTGGGCACTGACTTATATAGTTGGGGTAACATAGGCTGAGATGATAGACTTATCTCTTTATCAGTGTAATGCACTCTTCACAATAGATATTCCAGTCTCCATTTTCCTAATCTTCAGGTTTTCCCCCCTTCAATAGATAATCTTATAAATTATGAAAGTTAAGGCAGTAAGCCTGGCATAATATTTGTCATTTTTCTTCCTTTTTGCCCCTACATGCAGTCTGGTTTTCTTCCTTTGCAGAAGGAAAATTTTATATAGGCCCTTGACTACCCTTATTTTCTATATTCTAATTTTTCAGTTACTCTTTCTTTTAGTATCTCTAGTCTTTCTGCCAGCACCTTGTCATTTACTTATAAACAAATTAGCCCCCCTTAAAGCCTTTCATTTGTATTATTTCCCATCGAGTTACCTTCTTTTTTTCTAATCCTCACCCAAGGATATTTTTTCCCATTGATATTTAGAGAGAGTGGAAGGGAAGGGAGGTGGGTGAGATGAGAGGGAGAGGCAGAGACAGACAGACAGAGACATCGATGTGAGAGAGACACATTGATTGGTTGCCTTCCACACACAGGGCCAAGGATCAAACCTTCAACCTAGCTACGTGCCCTTCACTGGGAATTGGACCCTTGACCCTTCAGTGCCTGGGCCAGCACTCTAACCACTAAGCCATGCTGACCAGGGCAAGTTACCATCTTCTTTCACTGTTAAAGTGTCCTATTTGTTATGCTTATACTTTACCACCTCATTCTTTCTTTAGTCCTTGGCAGTCCTTTTCCTATTACTTTTACCAAAATTGTATTATCAAGGTTACTTTTTATACTCAGAGTCCAGTGGCGTTTTCTAAGTGTTCAGGACTTTTGGTATTAATGATCTACCTCTCTTTATTAACCCTCCCCCCAATTTTGCTTTTATGATCAGAAAAAGATGATAAAAATGAATACTTGCTGTGGTTAAAAAGTGAAGCTATACTGAAATATACAAAACAGGAAGTAAAAGATCCCATAATCATGTGNACCTCTCTTTATTAACCCTCCCCCCAATTTTGCTTTTATGATCAGAAAAAGATGATAAAAATGAATACTTGCTGTGGTTAAAAAGTGAAGCTATACTGAAATATACAAAACAGGAAGTAAAAGATCCCATAATCATGTGCTCCAGAGATAACCATTGTTAATGTATTGGTATCATTTTTTCCAGACATATTTCTATTTGTATATAAACATACCCCCATTTTTTTGGCTTTTAAAGACAAATGCATTTATCCAATAGATACTTGTGTGTTTTTTTAATTTAACAATAGATTGCTCATATCATTCCAGTACTTATTACTGATACAGTTTTTTTTTATATTTTCCTCTGCCACTAGAATGGTAAATTCCATGATACCAGTGCTCTATAATATCTTGCTCTGTTACATCCTTTTACATAGAACAGTGCCTCCCACAAGTAGATAACCAGTGTATATTTGTTAAATGAATGAGCTGAGACATTCTATTTCCATTTAATGGGCTGAGAATTCTATTTCTCACTGATCTAAAACAAACACAACCATATGACCCTGCTCTGATGGTATAATACAATCTGATAAGCAAATTTCTGTTGCAGTAAATTGGTCAGTGTGATAGAGGGACACAGTGGCTTGTTAAAATTGGGTAGTCAAGTAAAATCTTTCTCAAGAGGTAACGTTTAAGTTGAGTTCTGAAAGACAAGGGGAGAATGGTATTTCAAACAGAAGATACAGATGGTACGAAGACACAAGGCAGGAACTTAGTCATTTTGCCCCATAAGGTTGACTTCATCTCATTGGTTTTCACTGTTAACATATACAACTCATTGCATTGTTTTGACAGTTTTTCAAAAACACTTCCTAAGTAAATGGCAGTGATCTAGAATGCACTTAATACAGCAGTCACTGGCCACATGTGGCTATTAAAGTTAAATAAAATTTAAAATTCAGTTTCTCCATTTCACTAGTCATATTTCAAGTGGCTGGTGGCTACCAATAGTTGACTACACAAATGCAGAACATCACCAATGTGTAGAATGTTTTTTTGCATAGGACTGCTTTGGAAAGTCACTAGAATGTAAACTTGAGTGACTGTATGCTTTGTTCATTGCTATATTCGTGACACGTGAAGGCCGAATAAATGTTTAAGTGATGAGATAAATAAGTGGNATGTAAACTTGAGTGACTGTATGCTTTGTTCATTGCTATATTCGTGACACATGAAGGCCGAATAAATGTTTCTTAAGTGATGAGATAAATAAGTGAATGGATGAATGGAAAGTCAGCACATCTGTTTCCAGATAAGGAACAACAAAATGTGCATAAACTCTGAGCTGAGAAAGAGCTTGTGTTTTAAGAACAGAAAGAAGAGTGATAATTTGAGATCAACAGAGATTTGGCAACTTGACCCCTATAGGCAATGTTAAACCTTCTAAATTTTGTTTTAAATGTAGTGGGAAGTGATAGAAAGGTTTGTAGCACAGCAGTAATGTGATCTGATTTGGATGTCTTTTTTGAGCTATTTTATTTTACTAGCTTCTTGATAGTTTAATAAGGTGGTAGTTATGACAGTTTGTAAACGGGTATTTCAGTAAGTAAACTTGAAATCCAGATTATTAATTTATTTATACTGTCAACACTAACACCCTTGTTTTATGTTTAATAATAATTGTCCACTTATAAGCAGGAACTTATAGGCAAGAACTTGTTTTTGTTTTCCAGTGAAGGTGGTGTTTTTAAGGCTCATCTCACTTTCCCAAAAGATTATCCCCTCCGGCCTCCTAAAATGAAATTCATTACGGAAATCTGGCACCCAAATGGTAAGTTTATCTAGTTTTACATTTATAAATATGATGGCCTGTCACTGAAGTTTTCAAGGTCAGTAAGAAAAATGTAGTTCTCAGTGAAATTGCTTTGGAATTTTTGTGCTGAGTTCATTGTGTTTGTTATGCACATGGCCATGCATTAGATTCTTTAGATGAGAAGGAATAACGGAAATCATATGAAAAAAGTAGTTTTTTACTTATTTACTTAGTTTTCAGCTCTTTTGAATCTCATGGTATTCCAAACTAGAGGCAGGCTTGGTGGGTGATACGATATTCAGCATTAATAGAACTCTTATAATTGAGATAATTTCCAGGGCATTAGGTGACTTATGGGCTATTACAAAGAACACAGAAGTAATTAAACTGAATTATTTAGTTATTTTTTTCTCATCTTAGCTCTTGGACCTCTTTTAATCTATATTCTTAGTTATAAAAAAGGGAACGTCCTATCTACCTCATAAGGTGACTGAGAACACCAAATGAGGTAAAATACTGTTTGTTTTAACCTTTGGAAAACATTCTCTACTGCTGTTCATGGAACAGAGACATTTGACTTTTTTACCCAAAGATCTGCTATGATTTAAAATCCACTTTGTGGGCCAAAGGTTAGGCTAGATAAGCCATGCTTATTATACACAGTCTCCTTGAACTTTTGGCCTTGTTTTGTATGCGCTTGCAAGGATTTTTTTCTAAGTATTTTGGACTATCATTATTTTGTAATCAGCTATCTTTTTAGACAATACTAATCTGTATTTTGTTTCTCATAGTCAAGGCTCTTTCAATTGCAAGGAAGAAAAACCCTTATTTATTAGTTTAATAAAAAATCAGTGAGAGAGTAATGGATTTTCGAATAAATTAAGGCATTATTGCATGGACAGGGAGTAGCTATTAGAACCCAGTGTCCTGAAAAAAGCAGATGGGTCTTATGAGAAACTGGAACTGGCACATGGAGAACTATTGGAAACCAAGGGAACCACCATATTTCATCACATCTAAGATAGCAGCAATTATAAAAGGCACACAATTATTACGTTTAGAAGGGAGAAAAATACCTCTGACAGTCTATTTGTGGGAGAATGCATTAGCAGTAGTCCTGCATGAAGTGTGGAGGCATGAATTGACGACGTTCACCTCGTTTCTTTGAAATTTCTTTAATCTCTTCCTAGGCTTTTGGCAGTTTTTCCTGCTTCACTTGAATTATTTGATGTGTAATAGCAATCTCTCTGCACCTATTTCAAAAGAAGATATGACAAAACTTCTCACTGTTGGCTACAACAGACTAGCTGTAGAATTCTCGGCAAAGCCTCTTTGAGCCTTAGGTTCTCTATCTGTGAGAATTAAGTGAGAGCACATATATACACAATATGTGGCACTTCTGTTAAGAGGAAGGATAGCAGTGGCNTCTATCTGTGAGAATTAAGTGAGAGCACATATATACACAATATGTGGCACTTCGGTTAAGAGGAAGGATAGCAGTGGCCTAAGTAGTTTAAGAGGACAACCAACCGATGAAGCAATTTTTTTTTTTTAAGGTTGAAGAGATGTTTTTCTTTTGCGGGCCATAAGGTAGAAGGTGTTAGTGAAATAATTAAGACTTGTGAAGAAAGGATGCCTGAAGAGGTAGTGGGGCAATGATGGCTACAGGAAGGATTAGACTAGGGAAGAGTGAAAAGTCATTTTGAAATAGGAATGAGAGGAAAATTGAGCATTTGAGTATCTGCTAGGCACTGGAGATATAAAGATGATTAGTGAGTTATGGTCTCTTTCTGTAAGGATATTATGGTTTATATAGGCAGAGGTGGACATGTAAACTTAATGGTGAAACTGAGAGATGATAGTGATGTGTAGTTATAAAGGTATTGGTAGCATAGAAGAGAAAGTTAGAGAATATTATTTTATTTATTTATCTTTATTCTTGAAAGTATTACAGATGTTCCCCTTTTCTCCCCCATTGACCCTCTGAAAGTATGAGTCTTTTAAAAAATTTTTACTAAATATGCTTTTATTGATTGAAGGGAGAGGGAGAGAGATAGAAACATCAATGAGAGTCATTGATTGGCTCCCTCCTGCACGCCCCCTACAGGGGATCGAGCCTGAAATCCATACATGTGCCCTGACTGGGAATCGAACCTTCACCTCTTGGCCCATAGGTCGACGCTCAACCACTGAGCCACACCATCCGGGCAAGAATATGATTCTTGAACAGAACTTTGAATATATAAATGCCTGCCTTGAACTTTGTTCTTTAGGCTGTGGGAACTCATTAAATTGAATAATAGGTTTACCTTGACTATATTTTCTTATAGAAAGATTATACCCATGGAGGAAAGATTAGAAGGGGAAGGCTGACTTGATAGCCAGGCGATAGGTAGAGGATTTTTTCAGTGGTTCCAGTCAGAGACAAGGCTTGAACTAAGAGTAGTGGCAGGGAGGAAAATGTATTCTTTCTTGTTGGGTGGTAAAGGAGAGGTAAGAATTTAGGATAGACCATTTCCAAAATAATTGTAGAATCAAAACCACAGTGAGAGAACACTTTATACCTACTAGGATGGTTATAATAAAAAGGCAGATAATAAGCAAGTGTTAGTGAGAACATAGAGAAATTACAACCATCATACACTACTGTTAACTATTTCAAGAATGTGAAATGGAGCCCGGCCGGGCGTGGCTCAGCGGTTTAGCATCAACCTAGGATCCAGGAGATGGCGGTTTGATTCCCGGTCAGGGCACATGCCTGGGTTGTGGGCTCGATCCCCAGTCGGGGGCATGCAGGAGGTAGCCAATCAATGACCCTCATCATTGATGTTTCTATCTCATCTCTCTCTCCCTTTCTTTCTCTGAAATCAATAAAGACATTTAAAAAAAAAAGTGAAATGGTGCAGCCATTTTGAAAAACAGTCTTGCAGTTCCTCAAAAGGTTAAACATAGTTAGTTACCTTATAATCCAGCAATTCCACTCCTAGATAACCAAGAAATTTGAAAACGTATGTCCAAAAAAATACTTGTATGTGAATGTTCATAGCAGCGTTAGTCATAATCACCCAAAAGTAGAACAACCCAAATGTCTATCATTTGATAAGCAGAAAAACAAAATGTAATATCCATATAATGATATGAGATACTGATATATGCTACAACACAGATGAACCTTGAAAACATTATGCTAAATGAACAAAGCCAGTCTCAAAAGATTACATAGTGTATGATTCTGTTTATCTGAAATGTCCAGTATAGGCAAATCTATAGAGATAGAAAGTCGGTTAGTGCTTGCTGATGGCTTGGGGTGAATTGTGGGGGAAATGGGAAGTGATTGCTAATGTATACAGGGGTTTCTTTCTGGGGTGATGAATATATCCTAAAATTGATTATGGTGATGGTTGTACAACTCTGTAAACATAATAGGAACCATTAAATTGTGCACTTCAAATATGTGAATTCTATCTCAATAAAGCCATTATAAAAATTACTGTAGGGTAAAGATTAGCTTTGTGTAGCTTATGTACATACAATTTTGAACTTACTTGTCTTGAGGTACACTTCTGATATATCCAATTAGATAATTAGATAAAAGTAGTCCAGGCAAGACTCAGCAGTGGACTGAGAGCCTTGGAAGTTACTGGCATCAAGATGACGGGTAACGTATAGCAAATCATCACATAGTACACCCTAAACTTACACAGTGTTATATGTTAATTATAAAGCTGGTGGGGGGAGAAGATGATGGGTAAATGGTGATAGAATGACTGAGTTAATTTACCCAGGGACGAGGTGATTAATATGGGAGATAAGGATAACCCCAAAAGTCAGACTGAGGGAAAGGAAACTAGAACGTGACTGAGAATAGCTTAGGACCCGAGGAAAGGAAGTGTCAGAACCTAAGGGAGGAAAATGTGTCCAGGAAGGTGTCCTCAATAACATCAGTTATTTTGGCCCAGAAGGGTTGACTTTAAAAGAACTCAGAGAGCCCAGCTCAGCAGTTGAGCATCGCTCTGTGATCCAGGAGATCTTGCCGGCTCCATCCCCTGTGGGGAGCATGCAGGGGGCAGCTGATCAATGACTCTCTCATCATTGATGTTTCTGTCTCTCTCCCTCTCCCTTTCTCTCTCTGAAATCAATGATATATTTAAAAAGTAAAAAAAGTACTCAGGAGGATATGTTCTCCAGACCACTTTGTGAGAATAATAGCATCCTGATCGGGGCAGAGGCCAGTTTCTAATATGGTAAAAGAGAATGCCCAAGTAGTGAATAGAGAAGGTTGGGAGTAAGTGAGACTTTCATAGTTCTACATGCACAACTTCAGGAGAAAGGAAATTGCTTGAGGGTTTGTATGAATCAGGTAGTTTAATTTTAAGATGGAATAGAGGTGTGTTTTCTGCTCAGTATTTGATGTCCAGACTCTTGGCTAGCTATTTACGGGAAACTTGATTGAGAAATTTTCTTTACACCAAACAGCAAAGTGAATTAAAACTTAAATGGAATAAAAATTTTCAAGTGATTAAAAAAAAAAGTAGTGAATATCAATTATTTGCTGGGTGTTGGGGCAAGAATTTTCTCGTTTCAAAAGAGAAATGGCAACAGTGCAATATAGGATTCTTAAATGGATCTTGTGTCAGATACTAAAGCCAACTATAAAGAATATTATTGAGGCATTAACATGAAAGGAGAAAGTAATAGACAAAAATTAAATGGGGAAAATTAAGAAGCAGTTTGCCCGGCCGGGCGTGGCTCAGCAGTTGAGCATCCACCTAGGATCCAGGTGATCGGGGTTCGATTCCCAGTCAGGGCACATGCCCGGTTGCGGGCTCGATCCCCAGTCGGGGGTGTGCAGGACGCAGCCGATCAATAACTCTCTAGTANTCGATTCCCAGTCAGGGCACATGCCCGGTTGCGGGCTCGATCCCCAGTCGGGGGTGTGCAGGACGCAGCCGATCAATGACTCTCTAGTAATTGATGTTTCTATCTCTCTCTTCCTCTCCTTTTCTCTCTCTGAAATCAATAAAGATATATTTTTTAAAAAGCAAAAACCTTTAAAAAGAAGCAGTTTGACAAGAAGAAACTAAACACTGAATACATAAATGGGTAAAAGATAAGAACAGACATTTCACAAATAGGACATACGTATAGTTTATTCTTTCGTTTTGATGATGTCCCTTTCTGTACTTTCCTTGCCTTTCAGTAAGTTTTTTTTACTGTATTTTTCAATTCCTGTTTACATTCAATATTATTTTGTATTAGTTTCAGTTGTACAGCATGTATAGTTTCTATACACAAAAAATTTTCACCCCAAAAGCATTTAGAAAAGCTAATTAAACTAGGTTTCACATGTGAAATTCAGAAGTTATCAGTAAAGAAAAATCTTAATTCTTAGTGAAGAGACAGCGGAAGCTGTCACCTCATGTATTGCTGATGGCAATATATATATTTAAATGTAATTTGGTAATGGGTTTAATACCATTTAAAAAACTAAACTGTTTAAAGTGAAAGGACACAAGGTAAAAATTTGAACATTCTAGATTATGATGATAATTTCTAAAAAAGGAAAATGATCTTAAGTTGATTCTCTCTGCTAGAATTCTGTACAGACATTTAATATGCTTTCAAATAAAATGACAATACTTATGTAATAAGAAAAACATCTTAATACTGTATAAGCATTTTATGTTAAACTTTATAGTGCTTACAAGTCTTGTTATTCTTGCCTCTCGGTCTACTTATTCCACTTTAGTTAATAGGTTTTACTAGGAGGTAGGGGTTGGAAGAGGATCCTTAATTATAGAAAAGCTCATACACAAGACATTAAGGCATGGACTTTGCAACATTCACTGCTGTATCCCCTTTGTTGGGTAGGTGTCTGGCACACAATATGCATTCAAGATATACTTGTCATAGAGCAAGGAATGCATATAAACTTTGATTCTGGTTACCCAGAGATATAACAGCAGGGGAAATAAATGTTAAGTTAGAGATGAAAAATAAGCTTTAAAATTATACCTATCACAAATTTGGTAGACTTTAGTTATGAAGTTAGGATTGAAATACAGGTAAATATTGTCATTGGTTATTTATGGGATTTGGAAATTTGGTTAACACTTTTTATATAATTTTTAAAAATATTTTTCTGTTTTTTCTAGAATTTCCACAGTAAGTATGCTTTCTTTGGCAATGGAGAAAATTTCACCAATGAATTTTGGCCTGGCCGGCATGGTTCAGTGGTTGAACATCAACCTGCGATCTAGGAGATCGCAGTTTGATTCCTGGTCAGGACATATTCCCAGTTTGCTGGCTCGATCCCCAGTAGGGGGCATGCAGGAGGCAGCCGATCAATGACTCTCTCATCATTGATGTTCCTATCTCTCTCTACCTCCCCCTTCCTCTCTCTGAAATCCATAAAGACATATTTAAAAATAAAAAAAAATAAAAAAAAGATTAGTGAATTTTGGTAGTTTCACTAATGTGTGATTTAAATGAGTGAGTGGATTAGGTCTTCACCTTCCCCCCCTCCCCACAATTAATTTTTGGCTTGGATTTTAAAATAATTTTATAGAAAACTATTTATGTTAATGAATTTTCACTGGCAAAATAGCATGTTCCTTTTGTGAATCTGAATAGACTCCTTTCACTGAAAATATAATTTTGCCTTTATGTGATTTAAAAAGTACATTATGATGTTACTTCTCATTTTTTTCTTAGGTAAGTCTCTGGACCTTTGACTGTCACCCATTTAAATCAGTAAGTTAGTGGAGAAACTAGGAAATCACAACGTAGAAACTCATTTCTGGTATTTGGACCATATACTTTCTACAAATGAAAAACAGATTCAGTAGTTGCCATTTATTTATTCTCACCCGAGGATTATGTTTTTATTGATTTTTAGAGAGAGGAAATGAGAGGGAGAGACACGCACACAATACATCAATCTGCTGCCTCCCATACACTCCCGGACCAGGGATTGAACCCAAAACCTTTTGGTTACTGTCCGATGCTCCAACCAATTACACCACCTGGCCAGGGCTCAGTAGTTGCCATTTATTCATTTTAGTGTACAGTAAGTTCTCACTTAACATCATCAATAGGTCCTGCATCTTTAAATGAAATGACGGATAACAAATCCATTTTTTCCATGGATGGGCTAATTGATAGAAACAAAATTTCAATTTCTTCAGCATTTTATCTATGTTATAAAAGAAATAATGTTGAATGAAACAAAGTTGTTGGAGGACCTGCTGTATTTAGATGTAAATGCTAGGCAACATCTGTTTACATGCTAGGTATCTTGAAGTTTTGCAGAAATGAAAAAGATAACTTACACTCCTATTGGGTTTGTCAGATGGATCCTTTTTGGTAAAATCTGTGGTCTTCCCAGAAGGTTAACAGGTTCCATTTTGGAAATTAACTTCTGTATATATTCATTGTTTTATACAGGTACTGTGGGAATTAGGACTACAACTATAATAGATATGTATAAGCAAATTATTTCAAATACGTATTTTAAACAAAACTTTTTGTCTAATTTTACAGTTGATAAAAATGGTGATGTATGCATTTCTATTCTTCATGAGCCTGGAGAAGATAAATATGGTTATGAAAAACCAGAGGAACGCTGGCTCCCCATTCACACCGTGGAAACCATCATGATTAGTGTTATTTCTATGCTGGCAGACCCTAATGGAGACTCACCTGCTAATGTTGATGCTGCGGTAAGGTGGTCACTTGCACATCTCCCCTTCCCTTTAATTAAACTCAGAACTATAGTATATATGTATCTTTCTCTCTGTGTGTATATGCGTGTGTGTCTATATTTATATCCATTTATTTTTCTTCTGAATCTGTACAAAAATAAGTTACAAAGACAACTAAGCTTCACCCCAAAGTACATGAACCTGCATCTTTAAATAAGGACACCATCTTATATGTCATACCTAAGAAAATTTATTATCAAGTCCATATTATTATTTTCGAGTTTTTATTTTTAAAACTTTCAGATCTACAGAAAAGTTCCATTAGTTAAACGAACACTCCTATGTCCCTCACCTAGATTCACCAGTTCTGGGGATTTTACTTATTTTTTCTTTTGCCAAACTGTTTGAGAATGCTTTACAGATATCCTAACTCTTCATGCTTGAATACTTCAACATGTATCTCCTAAGAACAAGGGTATCTTTCCATATAAGCACAGTACAAGTCTGTCATTGATACAGTATTATTATTGAATATACATATGCAGCCCATACTCAGATTTCTTCAATATTGTTCTTTATAGCTACCTTTTTTGTTGTTATTGAAAATACAGAATCTAAGAACCCACATTATATTTTATATTCACATTATATTTTGTTTTATTAGTCATCTTTAATAGTCCTAGTTTCTCAGCCTTCTGTCCTTTGAAAAGTCTTTTGTTCTCATTCTTATTCTTACTCTTGGAACTTTTTTTTAGTGTATATGAAAACCAGAAGATTCAATTCACGTTTTTTTGGGGGGGTATTTTATTTTATTTATTTTTTATTTTTTTAAATATATCTTTATTGATTACAGAAAGAGGAAAGGAGAGGGAGGGAGAGAGAGATAGAAACATCAATGATGAGAGAGTCATTGATCGGCTTCCTAGCCCACATCCCGGGCATGTGCCCTGACCGGGAATCGAACCCCAGTCGCCTGGATCCTAGGTCGATGCTCAACCGCTGAGCCATTCCCGGCCCGGCGGGAGGAGGGGGGTTATTTTAAACATATATAGAAACTTTTATATCTATGGCTTTGAAATTTTACATTTAGTAATCAAATTTAAGTAAAACCTGGTAGAACACTATACTAATTTTCTGTTTTAGTCAGGTATTAGTTCAAACAATATAAGAGATGGTAAAGGAGAGGAGGTGAAAGCTGTTTCTTTAAAAAAAAAAGTCCTGTAGAATCATTTTGAGAAGTAGTTACTATTTCATTCTCAACTATCAGCACTTTTTATAAGATCAGAACTGACAAGTTGAGTTTTAATCTTCAAAAAGGAGAAATTAAGAACAAACAAATACTTGACAGTGTGAATAGGCAAAAGCATTTTCATAAGGGTAGAAATAGGCCTTTATAGGAAGTTGAAATATGCAAACTCGACTTCACGGACAGTACAAAATCTATCCCATTCTTTTTTTTTTTAAACCCACTGCTGCAGTTTCTGATTTAACCAGTTAGTTGTCTCATATTTAAACCATAGCTTTCTTGTAAACAGTTTTGTTTACCTTTCTTGCTTTTTCCTTTTGCACTGCATACCTTTTATTATAGTTTCATATATTGTTTGTTTTCCTCACCTCTTTTTTTTTTTTTTTTTTAATATATCTTCATTGATTTCAGAGAGAGGAAAGGAGAGGAAGAGATAGAAACATCAGTGATGAGAGAGTCATTGATCAAGTCTGCAACCTGGACAGGTGCCCTGACCGGGAATCAAACCCCGATCGCCTGGATCCTAGGTTGATGCTCAACTGCTGAGCCACGCCCAGCCGGGCTTCCTCACCTCTCAATCTATGATACCTATTCCCATTTTTCTTGGAGATCTCTTCCCTGGGTCTCTTCATTTTTTGGCTCCAAATTAGATTGAGTCTGCTGCTTGGCTGCTTTCCTTGAATTTTCCTTCCTTCCCTTGCTTCTCTTCTGTATTGGATCATCTGTTTCCTGAATCTGCCTCCCCCCCAAGAAAGCCCTTTTTTTTTTTTATTGTTGACTTTTTTCTTTTGCTTTTCTTCATCCAAGAGTAATGTTTTAGAAAAGGTATCTGGGAATTAAGTCCTTACATACCTGGAAGCGTTTTTATCCTGACCTTGTACTTGATACTTTATTTACAGAATTCTAGGGGGGATAATCAAATCTCTACAGAATTTATCTTTAGTACTTATTGTTACTGATGAGAAATTTGATGTCAGGCTCATCCCTCTCCATTTGTAGATGGTGACCTTTTCTTTCTTTTTCCTTTTTCCTTCTTTTTTTTCCTGGTTCCCTTTACGTCCTTTTCTGGATTTCTGGTCTTCTGAAATTTCACAATATTATGTAAAACTTTCCATCTCTCTAGTTGATGTATACTTTGAAGACTTCAGCTGTGGAAAATTTTCCATTTTAATTATTTTCAGAATTTTTTCATGTTTGGCATTCTTTCCTGTTTTGAACTTGTAGCTCTAACCCAGATTGGTCCCTTCTATCTTTTTCATCTAAAACAGTGCCGATTTTGAATTTTCTGTTGAATTTTCATTTTGACAGTATTACTTTTAATTTTAAATGCGTGGTCTTTTCTCCATTAATTCCTTTTTCATGAAATCTTATCACTCTTTAATGAACTTAATAGTTCTCTTGAGAGTTCTAATTAGAGATTTTTAAAAGTTAAATTCTGAAGTCTCTTTCTCTGAGGTCAGTTTTTCTTTTGTATTTGAAGACTACTTCAGAACTCTGTAGGCCTTGTACACAACTCTTCGTTCATTATAAAGAAATAAGAAGGGAGGGTCTAGGAAAGCAGATTGGAGTTGTATCTCTGTGTAGAATTTGTTTCACTCAAGGGTGTGTGAGTAGCAAGCCAGATACTAAACTAAGAGGAAGAGTTGGAGGAGGAGGGGTTTAATAGCTTCTTTCCCTCCTTTGCTCTGGTTCCATTGAGACGTTTCTCGGCTGTTCCTTTTTCTTCTCTGCTGCATGTTTCATTACTTTTCCCATCTTCTGGTCTTCCTGCAAAAACTCTCCCTGTATTAGATAACTTTCCTGCCATTTTCTTTGATATTTAGGATTTGTACCTTTAGAAAAAATTCCCACATGATCATTTTAATAGGGTCTCAGGAGAGTAAATAGACAAACATGTGCTTTTTTTCCCTATTGAATTCATCGATTCCCCATTTGTATAAAATGCAGATGAATATATCACCTGTCTGGTTACCTAAGCTTATGGCATACTGGATTCAACAAGTGGCTGGTTATATTAACTAGATCCTGCTTTGGAACCATCATCTACCCATCTATCCTTACGGGGCAAGTCATCCTTGCCCAGTCTTGTCTCAGTCGTCAGAGAATGCTGGCCATACTATATAGTCTCTCTAAACTCTGCTATTGACTTGAGTCCTTTTTACTTCTTCAATATGTTATTGTAATAGCCTTATATCTGATCTCCCTGCTCTCAGCCTTTAGAGAGAGGGGGAGAGAGAGCACGAAGTATCTATTCGCTGCCTCCTGCACCAGCCCCACCAGGGACTGGAGATTGAGCCTGAAACCTGGACATGTGTTCTGACTGGCAGTGGAACCAGCAGCCTTTTAGTGCACAGGAAACTCCCAACCAACTGAGCAACACCAGCTAGGGCAGTCTTTCTTTTTTTTTTTTTTAACCCTCACCTGAGGATATGTTTTCACTGATTTTTAGAGAGAGAGAGGAAGGCGGGGGAGGGGGAAGAGAGAGAGACACACATTGATTGATCATCTCTCATACGCACCCCAACTGGGGATTGAACCCAAAACCTAGGTATGTACCCTGACTGGGAATTTAACCTGCAACCTTTTGACGTACAGGGCGATGCTCCAACCAACTGAGCCACCTGGCCAGGGCCCTGCTCTCAGTTTTAAGTTTCTCTGCTAAGTGGTATTTTTAAGTGGTTTTTTTCTTTGAGATCGATTTTCTCCCTTTGCCTAGAATTGTTCTCTTCTTCCTTTTACTTAAAATGATGATGACATAATTACAGACTTCATAACATTTTATACATAAATACTCCAGTATGCATCTCAATCTCTGTACATGTTAGCATTATAGTTTCTCTCATATTTTATTGTAATTACTGGATTTCTGTGTTCCCTTTCTTGCTTTGAGGGCAAAAAATTATTTTTCTAATGTCTTCCTCCACAAGAGCAAAGATTGTCAATTTCTATGGTTTTTGCTGTCTGTAAATAGATGATATTTTTTAAAAAGGGAAACAAAAAAAAGGCTGGGCATTTTTGTGAGAATTTCCTACTATGTATTTTCATGCTAGATAGAATCAGCTCTGTTATGTGAAACTATTCCAGTGCTGCTTTGTGTTCCATTTTCATGTGTCTGGCAATGATAGTGATAATTGTTTCATTTCTCTCTGTCCTGTCCCCTCATCCCCCCCCGAGAAGCAGTACTCAGTATCATCTCAATATGATGTACTCCACCTGTCTACTTTATATAGGATGCACTTTTATGTCTTTTTTATTTTCTGGTTGCTTCCATCAGGGAGAGTTTATAATCCTTCAGATAGCCTGAATATCTTATTCATAATTTGTACCTTTCTTTTCAGTATAATATAAAACTGTTAATGTTCTTTATGATCTTTTCCCTGTTTTAAGAGAATTTTGCCTATAGAGGCAGTTTGTATGGGAGATTTCTACTCTTTTGTCCCAGCAGAGTGCCTTGCAAAAGTATTTTTTGACTACTTTTCTATCTTATCCGATTACATATGCCAAAGCATTACATTCAAAAGTAAAATTAGTACTTGAAATTATAAGAGGAGTTGATAAAATCAGTTTGTCACTTCTGTACCTACAGAAAGAATGGAGGGAAGACAGAAATGGAGAATTCAAAAGGAAAGTTGCCCGCTGTGTAAGAAAAAGCCAAGAGACTGCTTTTGAGTGACATTTATGCAATAGCTGTAACTTCACTTATTTCAGGGTAAGTTCATTTTAACAATCATACTATTATTTGCCTTTTTATAAATGTCCTGTGTGTTTGGGGAAATTATGTGATTTAATTATTTGAATTCTTTTTTTCATTGGCTTCATTTTCTAGTGGTAGTTTCCAGTAGTTTGCTGTTTCTCAACAGAAACAGTATAACTTACTTGCTTTTGCCTTTAGTAGACCCAGCTGTTTTTAACTAGATAAACCAAACTGATCAGTATAGTAGCAGTCTGTCTTTTCAGAAACTAGAGATGGTAAAATTTCCAATGATAAAGTGTTTATTTCAACAGTTTCTTCCATTTTACCATTGCTTTTCTTCATAATTTTATCAGGTTTGTATTTTTAAACAATGTATTACATGACTTGAACTGTATATATGGAATTACAATGTATACATTTTAGACTTATTACACATTATATTGTTGAAGTTGTTCTGTGTTATGTACAGCTATACTTCATCTGTTTTCACTGTTATGTAGTGTTTTATTAGATAAATTACTTCTCTACTCTTGATTCTTATTGCAGTTATTTTCCAGTTTAGGATGGGTCTTTTTGCTTGTTTGTTTTGCTTTGTTTTTGCTATTATAGAGAATGTGGCTGTTCTTTTCTTTTTTTTTTCCTTCAGAGAGAGGAAAGGAGAGGGGGAGAGAGAAAAACATCAATGATGAGAGATTCATTGATTGGCTGCCTCCTGCACACTCCCTACTGGGGAATCCTGGACATGTATCACGACCTCCTGGTTCTTGGGTTGACGCTCAACCACTGGACCATACCTGCCAGGAGAGAATGTGGCAATTCTTGTTTCTTCCTGTACATGCACTATAAGAGTTTCTCTAGGGTATATATCTAGGGGTGGAATTCTTGAGTTAAGGGTATATTGACTAGATAATTGCCAAATTGTTTTCTAAAATGTTGCATCTATTTGTATTCCTATTGGCAAGGATAAGAATTCCATGTGCTTCATATTCTCGCCAACATTTGTTATTATCAGATTTCTGCAAAATTTTTAATTTGGAAGGTGTACAATAATAAATCATTATTACTTGATGTGATTGCCTTAATTACCAATGCAACTGCACATTGTTTCATATGTTTGACCATTGATGTTTCCTCTGTGAAATGAGTGTTCTAGTCTTTGGATTGTTTTCCTGTTAGGTTATTGATTTGCGTTCTTGTCAGTTCACTTTCTTTATGGTTTCTTTGGATGAACAGAGGTTTTTAATTTTAATGCAACTGGATTTATTAGTCCTTTCCTGTATGAATTTTACTTTTTATATTTCAGTTTCTTTCCTGCCATCAGAATGCTACTGTTACATAATGTCTTCTAAATGTTTTGTAGTTGCCTTTGATATATGTGTTCAATCCACTGAAATTGATTGGTATATGGTGTGAGGTAGGAGTTCAGCTTTACCCTTTCATTCCACAACATATAGCTGTTGACTACATCATTTATTGATAGGTCCATCCTTTCAACACTGATACAGTGTTGATTATGTTATAAAATTACATTTCAGTGTATGTGTTCTGTTTATGACCTTTCTATGTTTCATTGGTTGGCTTGTCTATCCCTGAACCAGTATCACACTATTTTAATTTTTATTTATTATTTTTATGATTAAATGTACCAAATGCTAAGGTGCAAATCAGAAGTAAGGCTAAAGTCTATCCACCCTCATTCTCTTTTTATGTTTGATGTCTCTAATTTCTGAAAGGACTCAGATCTACTTTTAGATCTCTTTATAATAACCTGAAATTCTGAAAATTAACTTTACGTTCTCTTCCCACTAGATACAATAATAACCTTGTAGTCTTCAAATTATTTCTGTTTTTCATCTAGTTTATATCTATCCTTTTTATTTTTGCTAATAATTTTGTTCTTATTTCAATATCATTACATGTGATACCTCTCTCACATCTAGTCAGTGGTCCATGTCTTTTCCCTTCTTTGATTTTTTGCTTTCCACCACCTTAGATCAAGTTCTTGTTACTAGACTTTGCCTTGGTCTGCTAGTATTGAAATTGAATATCCTTCATGCCTGCCTGTACTTCATTTTGGATATTTGTCTTGGATACAGCTGCCACATTAGTCTTCACAAAGCTTAGCTCATTGCATTGGTTGGTTTATGAGTATGACAAAATCCTAGGAACAGCAAACACACTCAGGGCTTGTTTTCCTTACCCATACCGTTTTCAAGTCAGAAAAGGACTTGGTGACAACAAAGAATTAATGAGGAACAGCATAACATATTGAAGTGTAATCTTATGCATGATTTCTTATATAAACAGTACTTTATAAATTTAGGAAATAACGAAGAATTTTATTATATTTACCTTGACACAGTATATTATAAATTAAGTAAATACTAATGAAGTATAATAAACAAATATCCTAAGGGATTATATATTATCTCCTTTGCTAATGAGGCTAGAGTTAACTTATACTTGATCATAACATTCACATGTCTTTAAGATATACTTATCAAGCTCTCACCAGTGTGGCTCAGTTGGTTGGGCATTGTCCAGTGTACCAGGAGGTTGCTGCCTTAGTTCTGGTCAAGGGCACATGCCCGAATTGTGGGCTTGATCCCCAGTAGGGGGCATGCAAGAGGCAGCCAATATATGTTGCGCTCTCACATTGATGTTTCTCTCTCTCCCTCTCCCTTCTTCTCTCTCTACAAATCAATAAACTATTTTTTAAAAAGAGACATACTTCTCAAGATTAAAGTTCACTTATCAAAAAGAGGCAAAAAATAATGTTGAACCAAAATACCTCATTGTGTAGAATAGGTTAATTGAAAAACAATATAACATACTGTTAGTCATGAAACTAAATAAACTAATAACTTACTATTAAGGAATATGGAAGCAATAATTGGAAATCTTCACTAGCATAGGCCAGTACTGTGCACACATTAATAACAAAGCATCCTCCTTTAAAGTTGCAGTTACTCCAGATATATTCAGCATGCATTGTAAACAGCTTTGTTTGCACTATTGTGACAGCCAGAGTCCTTAATAGAACAGAATTTTAAATGAAATTAATACACTCATTTTTTCAGTGATTAATTTTAGTTACTATTTCTTACTTATGCTACTGTTAAGCTCAGGCTTTTTTCTGTGCTTTTAATTTAACATTGTCTTTTGATATTTTGCTAGATCAATAATATATAGATATATCTGCTTCCTTTTTTAACAGTTGCATATTATTAAGAATCAAGATTTATATCTGAAATGAGAGGTAACATCAAGAACAGGTGACACTGAGCTCATTTCAGTTCTTGTTAATGAATATTTGTTAATTGCCTGCTATTTGCAAAGGCACGATAGAATTCTATAGATAAATTATCCTGGTCAATTAAAAAGCTGTTAATTTAGCCAGTTAGATCAGGCATAAAAAAGGTAAGGTTAAGCCACATTAAGAGCTCTAGTGGTAGTAGAAGCAGAGCATGGCTTTGAGAAAGTTAGAACATGTGTAAAATACTGAATGGTTAGGATGGTTAGGACAGAGGTTAGACATAGAGCTGTTGGTGAGATTGGAAGTCTACAGAGTAGAGATGAAGATTCATTTGGTGTAGAGAGCAGTACTTATTAGGGCGAAAGACAGCATCTTGTACCATTTCCACATTGAGGGACGGAAGGAAGAAACAGAGACAGAAACATATGGGCTGGTTGGCCACAGGGAGGAGAGAGGCATTATAGACCTTAGAAAGGAAGTGGATGTGGATGGTCACCAGTGCAATGGCATAAGAAAAAGAATGAAAATAAGAATCAGTTTTGGGGGAAAGGCCAGATTGGTGATGGTAAGGGAGAGTTGTTGTCTAGTATTATACTGAGTGGCAGTTTCGTATGAATTGGAACTTTTGGAAGCATCTGTGTGAAAGGAATGGATGGGGAAAACTTCCTTGATACTAAGCTGTTTAAGTGATGGGCTGCTCTTTCACTTAGGAATGCTTGAGATTATTTGAACACTTATCCCTGAGTGGGTAGTTACTTTTATTATTGTCTGTGATATCAAAAAGTGGTCTTTATTTGGAAGCATACTTGACTGTTTTGTATTTTTAGGGTCTTTTAAAAAGATTAAGTTGTGTAGCCACATGGAATATGAATGATTTGATTCTAGTTTTAGAAATAAATGGGACAAGACACTTACATTCTTTCGAGGAGAACCCTCTCCAGATTTATAGGTTAAAGTCAAGAATAATAGAATATGGGAAGCAAAAAACTGGTACTCAAATTATTTCATAAAGACATACAGTTGATATAGTCTCAGTTAATGTAAAAAGTGTGTGATTTTAACAATAGGTGAATATATTTTAAGTTAGAAATGGGATATGCTTACAAAAATGTAAATGACTGTTTCAGGTCAGTGCCGTTTATTTAGAGTGTTATGCAAGTAATTCATTTTCACATTAATCTGGTGAACAGCAATCTCACCAGCAGAAAAAAACAACAAACTTGCTTTTTTCTCTACTGAGGCTTTTTCTCTGTTGAGAGTGCATTTTATTCAAAGTGGGGGGGAAATAGATATTTCTATTTCTGCTGAAGTAAGCTAATGCTATTTAAAGCTGGTCCTCACTATTAAAAGGCTGGATTGCCTGATTTTAGGTATTTAATGACTTTCATCAGTCAGTCTTCTCTGGAATATTGTTCTTTAAAAATCTCAAACAAAAACAGTTTTTAATTGATTCTTTTGTGGCCCTGAAATATCTAGTTCATACCACAGGGGAATGATTACTCAATGCCCAAGCTCTGTATACTGTTCTGTTTAAGCCCTAAGAGATTAATTGGCCAGCCATTAATTTGAGTGTGTGATATAGCCTTTGGAAAAACATTCAAATAACATTAACTAAAAGTTACAATACCTGTTCTATAACAATGCCTCTTGAGTTTCAGTTATATATGTCTTTAGATTTTCTCATAAAATATGTGTGCACATATGTGTATCTTTGTGCAAATGGTAGAACCCGATTCTGGTGAAGGTGATACATTCATATTTGGTGCATTCATTGCTTTGCTAAGGACCGTTTACATGGATTGATTAACCCCTTTGGAAAGAAATTGAGAACTTCTACCGCTCTTGGAGCTAGGCACATGTAGGGCCACAGATAGGCCCGTAGCTCTCTTTCTACCCACAACAGAGCTTTGGTATGGTTGAATTTGGGTGATTGTAAGATTAATAACTTTATTCAGGGCTTTAGAAGACATACTGGTATGAGTTAAATATGTCCATAATTCTAAGTACATTTGACTTCTTTATTGGGAGTTTAAAACTATATCTCTTGAATTCCCAGTTATCTTTTGTTCAAGTCCTTTGTGCCCAACAATGTGCTTGGCACACAATACAGGTTTCTGAGTTTCTGAAACACTTGATTCAATGTAATATTAGTAGGTGTTCTCCCTGTCCCCTTCCCTTGCTCCCCTTACATGTTCAAAGCACATATTAATATAATAAAGGCTCTGAGAAGTCCAGTCATTTAAAAGACACTTTTTTTGGTAATTGAACTTCATGTTTTCGTAACTTTTTGAGAAGAAGTTCTGCCACTTATTAGCTGTGTGACCTTGTCTTAACTTTTCTCTGTAAAATAGGGCCAAACTCCTTCATATGGTAATTATGAGCATTACATAAGATAAGTTTGCAAAGCACTTAGTACACTGCTTGGCACATAATAAGCACTCGATAAGATTGTAGTTGTTTTTATTTAGATGTGGTTATTGACTTCTAGGCTAATAGAGAACATGAGGCCAGCAGATAGAAAACAATAGAAAACAGTAATTGGGATAGGTTTCATGGAGAAAATGTGTTTGGATTGAACCTTAGAGAATTGGATAAAATTTAGCAAGTTGAGAAGTGTGGCAATCTTAAATTGTTTCTCTTAATATCCTTAAATATTTGTAGATTTCCAAATCACTTGACTTTTTGGCAGTTCTTCTGTTTTTGACTCTAGATATAGCATATAAGTTGAAATACATTTAGAACATCAAAAAATACAAATTAAGGCTGTACAATAAAACTTTCTACACTAATTGGAAATATTCTATATCTGCACTGTCCAATATGGTAATCATCAGCTATCTTGAGCACTTGAAATGTAGCTAGTGTGACTGAGGAGCTAAATTTTAAATTTTATTTACTATTATTTAAATTTAAAGTGAAATGGCCCTATGTGGCTACCATATTGGACAAGCAGAAAAGTAAGCTTAAAATGAAATTAAGAAATTTTTAAAGAAATAACATGTGAATAAAAATTTATAATCAGCTCTTTTTTATAATTTACAAACTTATTGTATAATTCTGTTTGTTTTGTTGTAGGTCTCCAATTGAAAAACATGGCACTGTTTTTCCTGCACTCTACCCACCTATTGCTGGACTTCTGTTGTAACAAGTTGGCAAACACTGGCTGGAACTGGGCTGCAATAAAACATGCCAGTATCAATGCTGACAAGAGCCTAACAAGTGCCAACTTACAGATGATTACGCATTTTGAATTCTAATGAACTGTTTTAACCTTCAGGAAGAATTGTAAAGACCTGTACATAGCACAACATGATCCGGATAATATATATACTGTTCATGTACATCCACAAATACACCTTGTACCAAATAATGCTTTCTTGTAGTAGAATAAGAATCGTGTAAATTCTAAAAGATTTTAGCAGGTTTTCTTCCCCTACTCATTGTTTCTTATGTTTTAAAAGACTCTTTAAAGCATGTCAAATGAAAAGCAATTAGGATTAAAAGTTTCCATTTAATTTCCTTTAAACCATTGAGGCTTCATTAAACTCTTTTCATTTACTAAAGTTTTGTATCTTCTTTGTTTTGACACACTCCCCTTTGTGTTTATCCTATCTGCCAGAAAATTTTCAAATCATTTAGTTCCAATACTGAAATACTTAATAAGCAGCTACTTGATTTTTAATGATGACTTCGGAGGAGTGGTCATCACTGGGTGCTTTGTCCTTTTTATATTCTAGCTGTACCCATCACTTGGATTGGATGTAGCAATAACATTTTTTGGCTGTTGAGAGCTCTTGAACTGTCACTGTTCCCAAGAACTAAAAAGAGTTGGTTCTGAATTCAACTTACTAAAATTTACCCCAAACTATACAAAATTCTGATTTGGTTTTATTTTTGCCCTCCAATTACCTAATGTTAAGGTTGGATGAATAAAGCATGCACAGCTACAGGCTTTCTACTTAACTTCTGGGTTTGCTATTAAAAACGCTATTTACCCTCATACCCTTCTCCTTAGCCCTTCATATTTCTTTGCCTCTATTCTTCTATACTGCAGATTTTTCTCACTTATTGTACAAAGAAATTGCGATGTATATTTTCATGTAATTTGATTTTGGAATTCTGTCACCTTATGTAGTGAGTTCTTCCAAAATATAATTTTTTTCCAATAATTGTCAAGTTGTTGGCTTTTATTGTATTGAATGAAGGTTATGATACTGAATGCCAGAGGAATGCAGTTTAGAAAAATCTCAGGTTGGTTCCTTATGCAAACAGACTTTTGATACTTGAAAATCACATGGCCATGGCGATATATA